GTATGGTGGGGTCTCCCAGACAGTACCCGGGGCTCTGGCACGCCACTACCCCCAAAGCACTTCGTGTTGAACTGGGTCAGGGTGGACCCGACCCAGTTCAAGCCTGCACCGTGTTCTTCCTTCTCTCACTGTCCCCCAGCTCGGTCGCCCTCACTCTACCTGCCCAGATGCCCTGGCTGTAAGGTCTCACCTCCCCGAGGTCAGTCCCCTGAACTAAGGATCAAAATATTTCACTCTCCTCTGGCCGGGCCTCCGCTGCCCCATGCTGGTCAACAAAATGATTCTGGTCAACAAAATGGTTCTATGTCTGGGAGAGAAAGCTCTGTGGCTTCCCTAACGAATGTTTAAAAATACATTCCCAATCTTGTCAACTGATTAGAGGTGAAAACACAGGGAGAACTTCTGTTGCTAATTTGGCCCACATAGAAACCAAATGGACTCGCAAGGCAATTTAAGGTCAACCTCGCCCTGCTGTCCCAGATACAGACGTCTCCCCAGGACTCTGTTTAGGATTCATATGAGGTGGGTAGGACCTGAGGGTGGCACTGCCCCAGCTGGTGTCAGGAAAGGTGCAGAGGTGGTGTTTTGGTTTCCATAATAAATGCTGGAGGGAATACCAAGATGTTAGATGCTTGGGGGGGTCTTCATATCCTGCAGCGACAGAAACTTCCCCCGCCTTTCCCCTCCTTCCTCAAGATAACGCTGAGAGCATCCTAGTGAGAAACACTGGCAAATACGGAGGAGAAAAAGCTATTGAAAAGAATTGGTGGTAAGATGCTCCTAGATGTAACTTATCCTCTTCCTGTTCCCCGTACTCATTGTACAGGGCTGTGAACAGCCTCTTCCTGCCAATGATCCAGGTTCTAATTGCAAGTAAATCTATTTTCTTGGCTTTCTCTGCAGGTAGAGGCTGTTCCTTGAGGCAACCGCCCACGAGTTCTCTGGGAGGCATTCTCCGGGGATGCACTGGAACATAGCAATCATTTCCAAGAAACAGATTCCAGTACTGGGTGTCCTCAAATCCCAAGCAGTTATTTATTTTGGGATTTATTTTAAAAAACAAAAACAAACAAAAAAACAAAAAAACCCAGTGTGGTTATAAATGCTTGGCAGCCAACTCCTCCCTTTCTGGCTAATCAGGAAACTGAGGTCTGGAGTCGTGGGAGGGAAGGACTAAGGCAGACAAATGTGCAGGTGTCCTCGAATACGGACTTGGGAAGACTGCTGAAGGGAAGTGGCCCGGGGTTGCCTTGCGGAAGGCGATCAGATCTGTGCTGGGACAAAGCGGGTGGGCCCGCGGGGGTGTGGGAGTGGGGGGAAAGGACCGCCCCCACCTGGCAAGGAATCTGCACCCAAGAAGCCCTGAGCCACTGAGTGAGCCCTGGAAGCGGACATTTTTTTTCGCTCCGATCTCCGGGCTACACTAATTAGCAGGTTGCTTAACCTCCTGGAGCCCAGGTTTCCCCGTGGAACATCCCCATCTCGGGAGGTAACACATACCGAGGATTAAACGGTGGCTGTTACTAAAAATGACTCTCAAGGGTACCCTGCCACGGTAGCCATTGTTGACACCGCAGCATCTGCTCCTGGGGGCGGGGTCACAAGAGGAGCCACCACCGGAAACCGCCCAGTCTCCCCAGGACTGGGAGAGCGGTCTGCGGGTGTGGACGAGGGCGCTGACTGCGCAGGCGCAGCTCTGAGGCCATTATTTAGACCACCCATCCGACCCTCATGGCCTTCCTGAGGGCGGCACTAGACTCGCTCCTCTAACAAACAGGGGAACAAAGCTGGTTCACTCAGCTGGAAAGGGGCAGGGCTGGGACTCCGGGGTCTGTGCTCTCAGCCTTTACCCCGTGTTTTGCCTCTCAAAGCAAAGATGAGAGGGGAGGCTTTCGGTAGATTCTGGGCTCTATGAGGGACAATGTCCCTTAATCACGGGGACTGACATGACTTTTCTCTGCCTTGATCTCTCCTTAGAAAAATCACAGGATCATGGTAAAATACAAAATGTTGTAATATTCCCTCTCCCACCCCTCTTAAAAAAAATTGAGAGACCAAAAACCAAAGGTGCAAATTAATGGAAGACAAATAAAAAAGAAAAGAAAATCCAGAACTGGGACCATGCAGGAAGCCACGCCACACCAAATTGTAAATTCTGGTCTGGAAATAGCCACCCTCTGGGGTGCCTGGAGCTGTGCTTCATACTTATATTCCTAATTATAAATGTGGTTGAAACATTGCAGCAAATAAGAGGATCAAAAAATATTGTTTTCATTTTATTATTTATTATTATTATTATTATTATTATTATTATTATTATTATTATTATTATTTTTAAATGGAGGCACTGGGGATTGAGCCCAGGACCTTGTGCATGCTAAGCATGTGCTCTACCACTGAGCTATACCCAACGGCCTCAGAAAAAGTGTTTTTAACTCCATTAATCCAATCCAATCCATCCAACCTTGGCCATGGTGTCAGGCACTCTCCTTCCCGTCTTTTTCCTGGGCACTTATTCATTCTTTCTGTCCTGTCATAATGGACATCTGAGTTTGCACCCAGTGAAGCAATGCATTTTTAAACAAAAGAAATTATCTTCCTAAAAGGTAGGTGGGCAATAAAACACAGCAGAGTCCAAAAAAAAGCCTTGTCAGTAGGCCGGAGGATGGCGTTTCCGGGGTGACCATCCAACCACCGGAGATCATGGGTTTGCAGCTGATTTTTGCTTAAGTGACCCAGCACCTTCCCCTGGGTCACTGCTGTGTATCAAAGGTCTCTGAGGCGGTGAACAGCACTCCATCCAAGAAAGTGTGTGGCAGCTGGACTGCCCTGAGTGCTGTGCTTGTGAGGGGTGCTGCTGGTGTATCAGCTGGGACCACAAAGCACCGGCAAGGATGATGCTGGGACTCAGGACAGGATGGCGGCGCCGGGGGTGGCAGGTGGGCTAAAACCCTTCTCTGTGGAATTTGGAAAACCTGAGAATACCTGCCGCAGCATGTTTATACACCTGCTAAGGTGTTAAGCCTAATAAAGTGTTTCTTTCTACCAGCGGACCATACTAGAGACTAAATAATTAACTGTAAAAAAATGTGTGCATGATCATCCAGCCTGTGGAAAGGCCAGATTTCATTTCAGTTTCCTTCCACTCTGGGTGGATACTCTAATGAGGACTCGATTTAAAACAGCCCTTACATTGAGACATTTTTGTCTATAAACATAAGACTCGACACTCAAATGCAGGGCTCCCTACTGTAAAATCCAGCAAAAGTCCAAGGTTGCAAACTGCTGGCCTCGGAGCCAATCTGGATGAACTCGACTGACATGTCGCTTCAAATAAAGTGAATTTTCAGAATAAGAGACTTGATGTGAAAGTTCATGGCTGATTTGCTGACAGACTCTTAACCCCCCACCCCCAACTCCTGTTTTCCTGTTTCTCTAGTCCAAATTCTTCTCACAATGAGACAGTTGGTGGCAGTACAAAGTGGGAGAACATGAAGCCCAGAAATTTAAGTATCTCCTGTAAGAAAGTATAAGGAGGGATCTCTTTCTGGAACTTCTAGATCACAGGGCACACGATCCTGCTGTGGCCTGGGAAATCTCAGCGTTCATCGGCTGTCTGCCCAGCGCCTCTGTTTACAGACTCCAAAACACGAAGGTGTGAAAATGAATTAGCCTCCCCAGGTCAACGCCAAGCACCAGGGAAGAGATCACTCCAACCTAGGTGTCACCTCACCCTAAAAATTCAAATTTTCCCTAGCTGTGAAACTAACACATTATCATTCCTCCCCCAGGCGCTTTTTCATTTATACGGCAGGAACTTTGTGGGATACTCTAAAGCTTATTTTGGACAATACCTTTTCAACGAGCACTTAAATCAACTGAGTTTTTTTTATTTATTTCTATACAGTTTGTTTTTTGAAACATTATTACATGATTGGTATAGGAAATTTGGATAATTTATAGATAAATCTGGATAAAATATAGTAATGTTTCAAGAAAGTGTTAATTATAATAGCAAAATCCAGAGACACCGCTGTTAACATTTTCTTTCTATGCATTTTCTTTTTCAAAAATATTTTATTTTGTATGTGTTTTTTAGGGGGCGGGGTAATTAGGTCTATTTATTTATTTTTAGAGGACGTACTGGGGATTGAACCCAGGACTCGTGCACGCTAAGCATGCGCTCTACCACTTGAGCTCTACCCTTCCTCTTCTATGCATTTTCAAAAACACAGCCTGGATTATAATGTGCACATGATTCATCTTCTACTTTGAAGCCCAGGAACATCTTAGGTATTAAACTCTTGTTACTAAAACCGCTTCAAAAACATGGCCCCAAACCATTCCATTTCATAGCTGTATGAAAATTTACTGGACATTATTGTTGGTCATCTGATGTTTGTGATTTTTACTACTGTATTATAAATAACACTGCAATGGACATCTTTGTGTGTAAAACTTTTCCCCCTGCATTTCTTTCATTTCTTTAGGATGAAGGCACAGACATAGAATCCCTGACTTAAAGGGTGTGACAATTTCAAAATCTCTCAGTATACGTTGTTATGATGGCGGCCAGAACGGCACACCTGCATTTACTTATTTTCGTCACGCTTCCTAAAACCTCAGAGCAATGATGTTTGAAGAACTAGAGCTCACGTGGTATCTTAGAGCTCTGAACATTAAGAAAGGAGCAGAGTCAGCTTTCTCATTTCCCCTCTCCTTGGTGGGGGGCAGGTATTAGAGAGAAGGTGGGAGGACAGAAGCCCCGCACAGCAACTGCCAAGGGGCCAAGGCTTTCCAGGTCCTGATAGAGAAGAACCCGGAGAGGTAGCCAATGCGCTGGTACAGACTGATATGCAAACCACAGCACTGGACAGATGTCTTTTGGTCCACTCATGTGTCCAAAGCCTCTTTCGTTCATTCTCAGGGATTACCAGGTAAAAGACATAATTTTCCACATAAAAGCAGCAGATTTCAGACTGGCAAACAGAACCTCTCACCTTTCGGAGTCTTGTGAGAAGACCTGCTACATGTTCGTGCTGTTCCGATTTAGCAAGATCTTCCGCTGTCTTTCCATCCTGTTGGAGAAAATGATTAGTTTATTTCTTCACAACAGAGAGCTGTGCGTTCCATACACTAATTCCACCATCTGGGGAAGAAACAGCATAACAGGCACCAGAAGCAAATACGGTGGTGGACAAAAAACCCATGTCCTAGGTTATTTCCCTTTCTGTGGAATCCTTATTTCACTCGATTGTCCAGGAAAGGAAGCTAAGAAGTAGGGAAAAAATCGTGCATTGGTGCCGTGAGGTCCAGTGGCGAGATGTCTCGGACCCACAGGCTTTAATCAGACCCGGCACCTCGTTAGTGGGCAGACTAAACCTCCCTCCAATTAGGCAGACAAGAAAGACTGCCGTTAGCTGCCAAGTTCTAGTTAGTGGAAGCTAACATCTTAAAAATCCTTCCGTGGACAAACCTCAGCACTCATATCAAGCCAGTGACTGCTAATTGCTGTGCATTTCAAAGAAAAGGCTGAATTTTACAGACAATTTTGATCTAAAGGTTTTCCGAGAACATAAAAGGAGGAAATAAGGGTCCACGGCACTTTGGTGTTTGCTTTTCAATTAAGAGAATTTTCACAGGGCTGCAGTTTCATACTGAACAAACTGGCTTCTGTTTCTAGGCGGTGGACGTGCACGGTGAGGGCTCGCGTCTATCCAGCGCCTCCTAATAATCCGTGCTGATCCAGCTCGCGGTGCGCGGTGTGCGGTAACCTGAGAGCCGCTCCTGGCGGCGGGGGAGGAACGGAGGAGGGACTGCAGGCTGAGGGACCGTTCTGCCGCAGTTTTAGAAATCATTACCAATTCAAAAGTAGAAAAGATGAGAAGCAGTTTCAAAAGAAATAAAAGCAATCCTTTTCTTAAACAAGAAGACTTATCTCTCAATGTTCGCCCATGACAGCTAGAAGTTCTATTCCAGGGGATTAAAGCTCAGGGATGCCCGGGTCTGACTGACAGCAGGTCACAATCCCAGCCATGAGTGGGGTCCCATCACATCAGCTTTTCTCAACCTGGGCACCACTGACATTTCAGACAGGGCGGTTCTCTGCTGTGGGAGACTGTCCTGTGTGCTACTGGACGCTTAGCAGCACCCCTGGCTTCTGCCATTAGACACCAGTAGCAGTCCACTTCCACCAGTTGTAAAAACCCTGTTTCTCTGGACTTTGCCAAATGTTCCCTGGCAGGTGCAACACCCAGCTGAGAATCAGAGCTTCAGGCTGTGGTCCAAGCTCAGATGGGCACTCTGGAGGAGGCAGGCTTACACTCCAGCTGCCCATCTCTCTCTGCCCTCTTCAACTCCCACAGTAGCTCCAACAGGCAGGTAAAAGCTTCTAGTTTGCTTTGGGATGAATTAGGTAACTTGTCAGACATCACATCTAAACCGGGGATTCATGCCACATGCTCTAGATCCTTACTGACATGATGAGAAAAGGATTTACTTTGGTGGCCCCGAAACCTCATCACATATCAGAATCGCCGGGGTCTTTAAGAACTCTTG